CGCCTGTTCTCGAACACAGATTTCTCCAAAAGAAGTTCAAGAATGTCCAAGAACGCGACACAATGACCAAGCCTGTTCTCGAACACAGATTTCTCCAAAAGAAGTTCAAGAATGTCCAAGAACGCGACACAATGACCAAGCCTGTTCTCGAACAAAGATTTCTCCACAAGAAGTTCGGTACTTRTCCGATACAATTCAACCCACGGTCTACAAATGTTCAATCGAAAGGACATGTAAAATGTCTATTTGTATGTCAACTGTTCATGCTCACCGCTTTGTCGCACTTCCAGTTGTCTCAGCAGTTGCTACTCCACCTACGGAAAACACTTGGAGCAGTCTTTCACCTCAGGTATTTCTTGTCAATGGATCGTTTTGTCAAGATACTGTAAAATCAAAGAACATCACTAACCTTGATCCTGTGAGAAGCCTTCACCATCGTCAGCCATTTTCTTTATTTCCACGAATTTGCGATCTATTATACTCTGACCAATTTCCAAAGCGATGTCTTGGATTTTACAATATTTTATGTACGTGGGTGTCGTTACGTATGGGACTAAAAAGCCTTCCCATCCTCTATTGATTTTCCCCAGTAATGCAAAGGAGTCTTGAGTGGCCTTAACCATCCTCACAGTTTCGTTGTTTGGTGGATCATCGTACAGTCCGACTCGTAGGTCAAAAGCCATTGTGCCAACAGCTAAAGTGACAAAAACAGTTTTTTTTTTTTCAGTGATTTTCTAGCTATTTACTTTGACTAGGGGAGCAGTACGAGCGGGGTTGGCGAAAAATTGAGATCATTCGTCTTCCAACACGATACCCCATGCACCATTCTTGGACCTATGGCCCATATCTTGAAAGTCCTGCTAATAAGCGGTCCCAAAAGCTGCATTTTAATTGCCGTGTTTACATTTAAGATCGAGATATCGATAACTTTGAGATTTAAGCAATAAAGACGTCAAGAAACGAAACAGAATGGACTGAGACCTCCACTGCTATTAATTCCTTAGTTTTTAAATTTAAAACATGGCTGCGAGCCTGTAAAGTTACCGAAACATTCTATAAAGAGGCGTCTAGCATCCCACGTGGGGTTTTTTATTTGCTGTTGTTATTGATTCTCGTCTTTACTCCCCCTTCCTCCAGATTGTGTAGTGTTCCATCCCCGAATTCAAACACCAGCATATTCCAATTTCACCACGAATCAGTGGACGAATAAACACTCTTTTAATGTGCTACAATATCAACGCCAATCAGATTGCGACATTAGATCCCCTGGAGTTGTCCCAGTGAAGAAACTGAGCGCTGTACAATTCGATCAGTGCAGTATATACCATGCTAAATCCGCTTAAAGTTGCACGAATCACTTAACTTACATTCCGTCGCCCACTTTGCAAGTTCTTCTTCGAGATTCGGTATTTCGTCATCTGCACCCCGCACTGACACCATATGTTCTATAGCATCCTTTGTAACTCCATTAAACTTTTCCAGGTTATCTCGAATGTCTTTCGGTCGAAGCATTTTTGACGCTAAAGCCTTGCGTACTCGGCTCCATTCTTCACCATCCCTGGAGACAAACCAGAGACACAAGTGTAAAAGCCACCACGGCAAGGAGGCTTTTTCAAACCAATAATTCTTCGAAAAAGCAAGAAATAAAGAAATAAATATATAAAAGGAACAGAAACCGACATCTGAGGAATTTTATTTTATTCGATAATTTTCCGGCGGAAAAGTACGTTTTGTCTCCCACTGAAAAATGCGGGTTTTCCTAAAATGTGGAGAGCTTTAAGAGGCTGTCACGCAACGTGACATCCTAGAGACGACACCCGTCACGCCACTGTACCGTTGTGTAGAAGGCCTGGAGAAAAAAGTCAAGGTTAAGAGCTAAAAAAAGACAAAACACAGGGCTAATATCTCTTTTGATCCCTATTCAATCGTAAGTGTGTGAGCTTTGCTATTGCTTTTAACTGTTATGGTGTTTTGTGTGTATGTGTCCTGCGTCAAGTAGCGGCCGTCATATATTTTTCTTCGATCCAAGGGACCAACAAGATTAAGCTCATCATATTGGTGTTTTTTGTTTCTCCAAAATGCGCCACGAAAGTTCTTCAGAATAGTAGGTTTGATCTGCTTAACTAACATGTTTAAAATCCGCGGTTTTAATCACCAGTTGTGTTGATCCTTTGTTCTTATTAAATCTCCCTTCAAATTCTAATGCAGCGTAATCTCTTTATGTGTGCTTTTGTCGATTGCACACGTCTATCACTCTTCTCTTCTTTAATTTTTTGTTTGTTTGTTTTACCTTTACATGTGCAGCCTCCACGCTGCTCACATGGCGATCTGTTGGCTCTCTGACATATTTTATTTTTTTGTGTGGGAATCTTGTTCACTGAGCCGCGTAATTAATCACTTTGTTGCGAGTGTTTAGTTGCAAACTTGCGGTATGTTATCGAGGTTTCAAAAGTACTCCACAATTCCCTGTATCAAATTATCACCATTTTATAGATGTTGAATCTGTGACCCCTTTTCACTTCCAAGCTCTGATTACTACATCTCCTTACTCTCATAACATTCTTGGTATTAGATCAACTAATAATTCCCAATTGATATGTATTCTTTATTCTCATCACTTGCCTGCTTGACATGGTATTGCTATTGTAAGGAGAAATTCTGTCTTGATCACTCAAGGGAGTCGGAGGGTTAAACTCAGTTAGCTTGCCTTTAAGGCCGTGACACATTATGCGACAAATCGCTGCAACAAATCGCGGCGACATGTTGCCTCGTCTGCACTGCTGCTGCGACAAGGCTGCCAGAGCTTATTTTGTCGCTGCGATATGTCGCACGAATTCAAACGAGTTTGAATTCGAGCGACAGATCGCAGCGAAAAAGATTTTCACATGTCACACGAGGCGATTTGCCGCTGCGACCCGTCGCGATGACGTGTCGCAGCGATTTGTCGCATAGTGTGTCTCGGCCTTTAGGGATTTCACCTGGAATAATTTAAATCTGTATTGCATGTTTGTTGCTTCGTGGTCTTACTCAAAACGTTTTTTTTTTTTTGGTATGAAAGCAATCCTTGCAGTAATAAACCCTACTAGTGTAGTAGTACAAATAAGGCCTGAAAAAAATTCAGGCCCCTACGGGATTTGAACTCATGGCCTCTGTCATACCGCAGTGCAGCGGTCTACCAACTGAATTTTTTTTTTTATTGTCCCTCCGTGAACTCAGTGCTTCTTCAGAAATAACTTTTACATGGTTTTCATGTGTGTTATGGAGTCTAGAGCTAGATACAGTTAGCGTCTGTGGCAACAAAACTATGTCAAGTATTAAACTACAGAACAATACTACGAAAGAAGAAATAAATTTTTTTGTTATGATAATTTTAAAATACTTTTCCTGTCAAAATTGCTATTTATCCCAAGCCACATCATCTTGTTAATACAGACTTTGTGTTACTTTAGTTACCAATTATGTTTTAAGAATAATTATGAAATAATTTAGATACCACTTACACCTGATTGGTTTATTGCACTGGTAAACCCATAGTTATTTTAAGGTAGACAACTTATAACAAGCAAGAGCATTCTTGCACAGATAGCAACCCTTTTCTGGATTTGTATCCCCACTGATGTTCCCAATAGCTAGTTGTCTGACAAAGTGGTAACTTTCTACATAGTTAAATGCTTGGAGGAAATTTTCATAAAAGAGAAGTTATTAAACTTCCAAGTTTTGATCTCCTTGGAGGTATAGTGAAAGCAATTATTATGATTGCATCCAAGATATCCTTTGCTATGAACTAACTGCTTTCATTTCTAGCATGTTTAAGAACACATAGCCCAGAGGAGCCTGTGGCTCACATGGGCCTCTTGGTCTCTCTTCAGATTTCCTCAGCACTTGGTGTATTTTGAGTTATATGTTATATTTATGTATATGTAATTCCTTTCATTGACATTTATGTGATATAATTTCAAAATGGCAGCCACAAAAAAATCAATTAACAGATAAAAAAAAGGCTGTTGATAACCTCACATTTCTCTACACCTCAGTTTTATCATTATATAACAACATGAGTAAGATATCCACTATTTAGCAAGATAACTTATTCCATTTGTATGGAGATGTGGATGATATGATATGTGTTAACTAAAAAAATATAAAAGTTCATTAAACTTACTGACAGAGGTTATTTAAATAGAATCAATTTGCATACAAGTTCGATTTGAAATCACAGGTATGATTACAGACCAAATTTGCTTGTCATAAGGTTCAATTGCCACTTTCTTACGTTCATTTAGAAACTGTAAAATTCAGATGCTCAAATACAGGATTTTCTTAGTCTGTACAAACATTTTTTTGACCCAGTGCTTAGTTGGTTTGTAAAAAATGCAAAAATTGTCTTTCATTTTCCTCTGATTTGATTGTTTACTTTCAACAAGCCTTGAAATATGATTGGTTATTAATGAAGGTTTCTCATAGCTGGAAAAATTAAAAGATGTGATTTGGAGCAAAATATTGGAACGATTGGTGAATAAATCGCCATTTTCAGGTTACCTGATAAAGCAAAACTTAGTCACTAGTAATTATTTATTACAAATAAAAGTTTATGAGTAAGGTACTTCAGTGCTTTGTAGAACTACATCAGATCTCCTTCACACACAAAGAAAAGGACTGAATCTTTGGCAAAAACGTGACAGAACTACACTAAGGAGTACGTATGTCCTATCAGTATATATTTATTGTTGCAAAAAGCAAAGATTAACACTCACCACTGTGTTATTACGACAATTTTAATTTGACAACCCAGTACAACTTTTGATGCACCATCATCTGTTGCCTCCGAACTCATCCAGCTTACTGTACGATGGACCTCGAAAGTCCGAAAGACTGTATGTCTGAAATACTGCGCGAAAGATTTACTCGGCGTAGAAAGATTTCGCACAATGCTGAATGTTTCATCTAACTCAAATACCATTTAATGCAAGGGCGTAGCCAGGAGGGGGGTCCTGGGGTGCCCATGACCCCCCCTTGGTAGGCCTTCTTAAGAGCAAACAACCTACAATATTCAGGTGGCGAAAACGCCATGACAATATCTTGGCCGTAAGTGCCATTGTTGAAAAGCCCATTTTTTTAAAATTTGTTTTTTTTGTAAAGTATTTTAGTCAACGGCTCTTGTATTTAGTTAATATGGGCCTTCATGCCGCGATAATACGACTGAGCCCGCCGATAAACGCGGGAGAGCAGCGGTGTAAATGGTGAGTAGCCTCTGTGAACCCCCCCCCCCCCTTAGAAAAATCCTGGCTACGCCCCTGTAATGGGTTCTTAAAAAATAGGAACCCTATATTCGCATGGTTTTCTAGAATTCAACAGAATGTCAGTGGTAAATTGGCAAACTATCACAGCCTCTTCGATAAAGACTTCAGGCGCAACTGTAATGCTCACCAGATACGTATGGTTGCTCACTGAGCATTGCCTTAGACTGGATTGGATTTTTTGTCCTTCGTCTAACATTCAAATTGTTTTTTACTTACAAGACTGCCATACTTTGAGGAAGGTTTCTGCTCCTCCTGTACTTCCTGTCCACTTCCAAAAGGGGGTTCGAGTGGGATATTTTCCATCCGCTTTGAAGACAACCTCGACATCCTTTGGATCTTTCACATACACTTCTGTGAATCCCCCAAGCTTCCTCTTAAAAACAGAACCGTACTTATCAAATAAGTCTTGTAGCTCTGTCATCATTGCCTTGAAATCAGAATTTCTCAGATAGCTGAGCACATCACCTAAAATAGGCCATCCTTTTGGACCAGGCATCTTGTCCAACGAGAGGACCCCTCCCGAAAGATCAGCCCCCATGCCACTGTCTCCTCGCTAGGCATAGTTCACTAACAAGTGAAGTTTGTCTAGAGAATTTATCAACCACACAACGAGTAGTATCAAAAGGGCAGAGACCCACTGCAGCGCGTCGTACATTTTACATCAATAACCTGACTCTCTTTCCTAAGTACCAGTGACATTAAGGGTGGTAAAAGCTGAGCAAAACCAAGCCGCAGAATAAAACGAGCAAATCACCAGAACAAACTAGCCGAAACCACTGAAATAATCAAAGCGACCGAAAGAACGAAAACGAAATCGCTGAGTTAAGCACAATGATCGAAACTGAAAACGGAACGAAATACCCCCTGATTTCTTTAACGGCCAACGACAGCCTTGATCACTTGTCAAGTTTTTGTGGCAGCCTGATTTCGTACCCAGATCGTTCCTAAGGGATCGTAGACTGCAGAGCAAGCGTAATTTTGGCGAACAAACGCTCAATATTCTATTGATGAAAATTATAGCCTCCATCTTTGGTTTTGCGGCAGCGAAAGGCTGGGCAGAGGTAGAAATCTGTACCAAGAGGGCTAGTGACAGTCAAAAGGAAGGAGGGGAGGGTGGATATCAACCCACAAGCTCTACGGCACGTGCCATACCCCATGTCACTTTTGGGTCAATGTCAATATCAACTGATATCAATATCAGTTATCACTGGTGATAAATTTCTTACAATTTCATCTGATTTTAGGTTAGAAATTCTGCTTTTACTGCAATAAAATCGAGATGAAAAGGGATCTTGTAACTATGCTCTATCTGTAAGATTCACCCGGCTGAGTGCCTGACTCACCGACTCACTGAGCCACTCATGTGACTTTCAATACTACATGTGCGTGATTTTGTTTTTGAGGTTGAGCAACTCGCAACGTCACGTAATTTTTAGATACACGATCTGAAATAAACCGATGCCTGCCCTTTCGTGCCGGTCACCTGCTTCATCGGTACATGGATCCTGCATGTCAAGATCTGCGATTTTTAATATTCTTCTTCAATGGACGACACGCTTTACTTCGTGACTACAGCTTTTCTGCTCTCAGTCCTGATCTGGTTGTTGAATCCCTTCGGCAAGCTCTTAAACTTACTGAGGCACCTATCGAAAGACGCCCAGGGAGATATTCCCGACGGAGTCCGACCCTTTAAGTTGATCCCAGGTCCGAAAGGATTGCCATATTTTGGGGATGTTCTCAATCATATTAAAGCGACCTCCAACTTCAGTCTACTTTTAAAGGATCGCTTGGAAAACTTTGAGAAGTACGGCCCAATTTTTAAGAGGACTGTCATGGGACGAACCATGGTCTTCCTCAAAAACCCAACCGATGTAGAAGCTGTTTTCAGAGGCGATGGAACGTATCCGATGCGACCTGAGACAACTTTCAGGGCTCTAAAGGAATACATGATCAGCAAGAAACTTCCAGAGGGTTTGAGTACCCTGTGAGTGATTTGAATGACTCCATCACTCTAATTGAGTATTAATCATTGTTTGTTTGGAAAGTGCAATGATGTTTTATTTTCAATTTTTCACAATCGCTTGATCGTACCATAACTATCCCATGCACGAATTTACACATTTTGTGGGACCCCCCTCCCCTCCCCCTCGCTTTGCCATTCGTCCCAGGTCTTCCACCTGTCCAATATGGCGACCGAATATTTACCGCGCCGAATCTCGCGCTCAAAAAACAAACAACCCCTTGCAATCGTCTCCTAGATGGCCTCAAAACATGAGAGCACCCTGTTCCATCGAAGAAATCCTAAATCCGTTCAGAATAAGAATACGAAGCCTAGTTCACCTCCAGTTAACTTTTTTGTAATTCTTAGACAGGGCGAGAAGTGGAGACGACTACGCAAAGCTTTAGCGCCCAAGATGCTGCGTCCTAAAGGGATACTTGAAAACCTGGACAATTTTAATGGAGTCGCTAGGGATGCAATATCACATATGGCTTCATTGCGAGGGATTGGGGACGAGATTCTAGATCTTGAGGGGGAACTTTCAAAGTTTGCCACTGAATGTAAGTCTTAAATTTGATTTCTCTAGATCGATTTGCCTTAGTACTGCTATGTTTTCTGGTTGTATCAATGACTCAACCTAGTTGGTCAATACATAATTTTTTCGAATGTTCTAAAGAGAGAGAATACCACCGCTGTGGCCTGGGTTCGATTACCGGACCTGACGTCACTTGTGGGTTGAGTTTGTTTTCGGTTCTCATCTTTGCTCTAGGGAATTTTCTCCGGGTCATCCGGTTTTCCTCCTTTCGCTAATACGAACATTCCAAACTCCAATTCCACCTGGAGACAGTGCCACCTCGCATTATTATCATGTTATTATTATTCACCATTATTATTAATAGATTATCCATGCTCACACTTATAGGACTCATCCTGTTACTGACTCGATGGAGCGCCATCCATCAAAGCAGATGAATTATCCAAGGAGAAATATTAATATTAATAATAATATTAATAATAATATTAATATTAATAGATTATCCATGCCCTCACTTACAGGACTCATCCTGTTACTGACTCGATGGAGCACCATCCATCAAAGCAGATGAATTATCCAAGGAGAAATATTCACCATAAGAAAAAAAATTAAGCTTGACACCTTTCCTTGCGAGGTCGCTCCTTACGATCTCATCATGGTGTGTAACGCAAAGCATTTATTTCAGGCGAACATAAACGGTACCATTTTTAGCCATCTTGGCCCTCCGTACTCGTCGTTTTTGCACTAACAGTTCTGTTCTTGTTTAAGCGATAGGAACGATGGCATTTGATGTAAGAGTTGGATTGTATGATGACCCACCAAGCAATGAAACTAAAAAAATGCTGAAAATGATCAGAGCGATCCTTGATGGTTTTGCACTCTTCGGAAATCTGAACAGCGGATGGGAAGAACTTCTGTATAAATTTATGAAGACACCATCCTACAGAAAATTTGTCGAAACTCAAGATATCCAGTTTTCCGTCAGCCAAGAGATAATTGACAGAAAGGTTAAAGAATTGAACAAAATGGTAGAAGAGGGTGAACAGTTTTCTGAAAATCAAGGTGACTTCTACAATTAAATACCCCGCCCTCCCTTCCCCACTCACCTTCTTGGTGACTTATCAGCTAGAGTGGTTGCGTCACACAGTTTCAGCGGTTATACATCATTATCCTGTTTAATGAAGACAGAAAAATGGCACAGCGGTCAATTAACGTCAAGCGCATGCAATGAAATCACTGGCGGCCCACCTGCCAATTTCCTGCGCAAAATTTCAAAGGGAAAAGTAAGAAACAACTGCGGTTCAACAAAATAGGGGACAAATAATTGAAACGTTAATAGGTATGTGTAGAAGGAAACAAAAGTAGGGAAGAGCCGGAAACTCGAGACTTCTAAAACATAAAGCTTATTCAAGTACTGGTATCCTGTTGAGATACCATGCTATTTTGAGCTTTACCAAAAAACTTTGACCCCTCAAAAATACCATGACTCAATAGCTTGAGCTGGTGTATGTTGCTCGTGTGAGACAACTTAGTTCTGACAGCGTGAAGGCACACCATCCAGTCATTACAAAGCTTGACCTCTGTATCGGCAGTGCTAAGGAAAACGACTCTTCTGTGTGTGATGATATTAGTTAGGAGATTATAAACAGTTTGTAATCTCTTGCACAGGTCACAAGTAAACTTACCACTCTTCTTTTCTTTGTTGTAGCTGTTTCTATGCTGTCCTATCTCATTATGAAGGGTGACCTCACGCCGAAGGAGATCAGCGTCAATTCTATTTTTATGTTTAGGGCTGGTGTCGAAACGGTAAGTTAGAAAGCAAGTGACTCTTTATAGAGAGAATTAACGTCAGTTCGACCGATCATAAAAAGTAGAAAACTTACTTCTACCTCTGAAGATTTGCTTCTTCCACTTTTTCTTCAAAGACCACAAATGGAATGCTTTGGATCCTTTACGATCTGGCCTGTAATCCGAGGGTGCAGGAAAAGGTGTACGAAGAAGTGACCTCCTTGATTGGACCCCATGGAGATTTCACCCCCGAGAGCTTTGCAAAGTTGGTGTACATTAAAGCTTGTGTCAAAGAGAGTATGAGGTAGAAGTACTGTTGTTGTTGTTGTTGTTTAATCTTGAGAAGTACTTGTTACATGAGCCAACAGAAAGAGAACGTTTTCTTTTTTTAACAGATTGCATCCCGCTGCACACATTTGGGCACGTGATCTGACACAGGATCTTGTTCTATCCGGTTACATGGTTCCTGCAGGGGTAAGTGCCCATTAAGCGAAACGTTGTGAGTGACGTGAACTATGGAAAAGTAACCGGTCTTTCTTTCCATCTTCCTCGTCATAGTTTTTTTCCCCTTTCCCAAGACTTAGAATATAGCAAGAAAAAGACTCCCAATGGTAGAGAAAACTTAAAGGGTCTAAGAAAAGCTCATCCTTTCAACATCTGGGATGAAAGCAAGAGTTTTAGGCCGAAGATTTCACTCTTCAGTCCTAGTTTCTCGGGGGAGGGGTAGGCAGGATAAGTTGTTTCATCGTTTTATATAATCACTTTTTTGGGAACTACCCCAGGACACCCCCTCTGGTTTAGCTAAAATCACTCTGTAAGCTTAAACAACTGATTGTGTTTACATTTGACGCCGTCTTTTACTCAGACCATAGTCATGTATTCCAACTACCTTTCTGGGCGTTCTGAAGAGTTGTTTAAGCTTCCTTTGGAGTTTAGACCGGAACGTTGGTTAAACGAGGATCTGGGAAAGATTCATCCATTTGCCACTCTGCCGTTTGGAGTTGGAAGTCGGATGTGTATCGGTGAGTTTTCTGCATGCAGCAGAATATTTTTTGACATCCCATAGGTTTGACTCCTTGCCTGTACATGACCCTAATTTAAAAATTGTCAGCAGCTTTGAGCAAACCACATTGGTAACAACAACAACAACAGGAGCGCGACCAAACAGAAGGTTTAATTAGCAAAACGACAATGGGTGTGCTCGTGTATTCTAAACTTTTTTAATCTGTTCTCCAGCAAAATAAAAATGTGAAAAGTAGGTTGAGTCAATTATTTGAAGGAACAAAAACCTAGACTAAAATCTTTCATGTTTTCTTTGGCAGTTCAACCCTCATTTCACGTGTACCTTGTTTGTTGTTGTTATTGTTGTTGTTGTTGTTTTTTGTCGTACAATTACTGTTTCCTTACTCGGAACTGGTCAGCTCAGACGACCACCACAAACCGTATAATATTATCCAAGTTTAAAAATTATTCGATCTAAGAGAAATACGTTTGTAATTGGAAATCAGTAAAACACAAATTAAGTCTTAATCTCGTAGCAAAATTCAAGAAAAACATGATCGGAAACTTACTTCTGTGGCGGCTCGTCAAAACAGGTTTCTCACTTTAGGTTAGCAGATTCGGGTAAGCGAACAGATGTTAAAAAAAAAATCCGACTTCTCTCTCTTACTGATTCTTCTGAAAAAACTGGTTTAAAACCCGACAAGCTAACACTTTTAAATCATTGTAACGAATTAATGTCAATCCCGAGTTGTGTTAATTAAAATATATCTGTCATCAAAGGCAACGCCTATTTACTAAACGAAACAACTTGACCACTATGGTTTCTTTCCAGGGCGTCGCATTGCAGAAGCCGAAATATATCTTCTAACAGCAAAGGTAATTGTGAAAAAAACAGTAGTTTGAAGTAGAGGAAAAATAAGATAAGGAATCGCAGCTAGAAACACAACTGAATTACGGTCACTTCACATATGAAAGCACCTTGGAAAGCGCCTTGGGAACGAGGTTTTATTATAGATAGCGTGAATATTTCTCTTCTTCAATAACGATACACGAACTGAATATTGAGGTGAATTATAATTTATTAAATCAATAATTTTTTTTCTCAATGATTACTTCAGGTGGTCCAGCGATTCACTATGGAATATCACGATGAGCCAATGGGGACAAAGCTTTCTTTCTTGGTTGTTCCTGAAAGGCCTCTGAAGATAAAGTTTATCGATCGGGAATAGTTTTCACGGACGTATGGCCTTCAGGTATCGTGGATGATTACAGCAGCAGAACATTGCAGATTAGTAGTATACGGGGTCATTATGGTACACAGCAAATCAGAGAAGAGGATTATGTGTATATCACGTAATAATAATAATTATAAATAATAATAATAATGTTTATTTCTCATATTGCGCAGTCTAACATGCAATAAAAGATATGATCGAATGCGCATTACAACATTAAAAATATTACAGCAATGAGGCTAATCCTAATAATGATAGTAATAATAATAATTTACACTTTTCCGGAAAAACAATAAAGGTAAAATATGAATTAATAAAAGAACTAATAGAAAGCTAAATTGAAAAGATGTGTCTTTAGTAAAACTTTCAAGTATCCAACGATTGACACTGTCTAATTTCCAGCGGTAGTCGGTTCCATACTTTGGGCGCAACATGTTCGAACGCCCTATCCCAGAGTGTCTTTTTTGTTCTGTAGGTGTTATCAATTAGGAGTATGCCCCGGTGTGATCTCAACTGATACCGCGAACTCGCTTTGATTTTTATCAAGTCTGAGAGATATTGTGGTACAAATGGGTTCGTCAGATAGCTATATTGCGTTACATCAAATCAGTTGAGTTATTAATTAGTTTTGTTTTAATTTCTTTAAGAGATCTATGGTGTTGAGATATCGGAATTCAGAGGAAATCGATAGAGATTTAAATAATAACCCAAATTAAACTAAATAACAACCCAAAAGAGTGAAATGCCACAGAGACTAAGTGAGTACTCTAAGCGCAGGAGAACGTGGTTTACCAAGTAACAATTGGTTTTAGTCTTGAATTCAGATGATTAAAAAAGTCAGCATTATTCAAATCGAAAATTTCCAAAAGTGGAGTGTTGGGAAGAAGGTGACGTATTAGGGTGAGACAAAGTTCCTAAGAAAAGTAAAGAAAAATCAGCGAAACCTGGGACTACTTTCGACACTTGGTCGAGAACAACTCTAATCAGGAGCTCTTCAATCGAGTTGTGCGTCTCAATTAACTTCTTCACTTCTACTATGTCGTCTAAGAGGACGCTAATTCAGATCCCATGCGTCTTTCTTTTGGTGTTCTGCAGGGATCAGTTTTAGTACCCACGTTATTTAATATTCATATTAACAACGTATCGAAGGCATGTCATACGTCCACTCTCTCGTTTTGTATACGTAGACGATACTGAAATGCATTCCAGCTCGAAGAATATTGATTTAGTTAACTGTGTAAAATGTCAACTAGGATCTCAAGAGCGTCAGACACGAAATTTGTAGGAATGGCCTCATTTTTAATACAAAAAAGTCGGAAGCCATGATATTGCGTCCCACAAAGCACTCAAAACCAACCGAGATTATACGTTTTTTACGGAGACTCAGCACTAACACAGCAGAGACATTTTAAGTATCTTGGCGTGGTGGTAGACGAATTATTATCCCGGAACAATCACTTGTCATATATTGTCTGGAGAGTTTATCCTAAACTGAAACTTTTATATATAATTTCATCTTTTCTTAGCCCTGCTACTTTATTGAAGATTTACAAATGACAATTTCACCTATTTTAGACTATGGCTGGATCGTATGGGGTTTTGCAACAATAAGAACTCCGATTTTCGGGAAATTTTGCAAAACAAAGCAATGCGAATAATTTCAAGAACAAATTACTTAACTTGCACATAGTCAATGAGGGAGAGACTTGGCCTGTTAACATTATCTAACAGGCGCCGTTATTTACGTCTCCAATCAGTGTATAAAATCGTAAATGATTATCGCTGTCCCAGGCAACTTCAAGGGTATTTTGCATTGAGATCAGAACTTCACCGTAAAGCCCTCAGAGATAGTAGGGAACTCAAGGGCGGATCCAGGGGGGGGTGGTTCGGGTGGTTCGGTGGAACCCCCTAAATTTCCCCTCAGAATGTTGGAAATCATGTTTCCCAAGACCTAATTTTCAACATCTTGGATCCCTCAGAAGGGGAACAATTCTCCGAACCCCCTTCCGAATCTGAATAGTCTAGGGGGGATCCAGGGGTGGTTCGGGTGGCGCGGTAGAACCCCCTAAATTTTCCCTCAGAACAATGGAAATCATGTTTCCGAAGACCTTATTTTCAAAATCTTCAACCCCTCAGAAGGGGAACAATTCTCCGAACCCCCCTTGACTAAATCCTGGATCCGCCCCAGGGAACTTCATCTCCAAAGATACAAAACAGCTATAGGCCAGTCAATATTCGAGTATACCGCTGCAAAGGAATGGAATGACCTCCCCAAAGAACTGTGTGCTTGTAAAAGGCTGAGAATATTTACAATTAAAACTTTTAAATTTTTAATAGGATCAGATAAGGTACAACACAAATGTAATGTATAAGATTTTTATCACTGTAAATTTTTCTTTGGTAATTTTAATTTAATCTTAACTTGTATCGATGGCAAATTGTATTTTAATAGTATTTCATGTACTGATCATCAGTTTATACCAGCCTTTTCTTATGTAGAATTCGCTGATCCGTTTTTTCAGTTTAATTAAGGCATTTATTATAATTATTATTACTAAAGAATTGTGTCCTCTAAATTAGGTCAGTTGAAAGTCACACCACCTTGTGCTTTGGTAACTCGTAATACTACGACTTTTATTTTAAAATAAATTCTGTCGTTCTTACTTGTATGTTGCACATAAATTTTTTCTTCTTATATTGTGCGGAATGAACTTTTTAGGTAGGCGCGTTGGCTCGAAGCTGTGTTTCTCCAAAATCTTTCAGCGTGATTCTACTCGATTGTAACGAGCTTCTGCTATCCGCCACGCGCTGGAGGTGGAACACTCGACTATCCACGATCATTCCAGTTGTTATGTTATTCGTTTTCTCAAGAGTCAATGTTTGTAGTCTTTTGCTCGTATCTAAAGAACTGGAAAAAAGGAAAATACTTGACATCACTATTCCACATATTCTCCTTTTTTTTTTTCATTAGTAAAAACCCTTCCACGTGGCATATTAAAAACTGCTTTCTAATCAGATAGTGATCTGCGCTTGCGTAATACCGTCTTACTAGACTTTGATGTAAAATTATATTCTGGTCAGCGTTATTGCTCCCGTACTCTTTTGAAAATGATGACAAATCGCTCCCTGAAGTTTTAAGAAGGGTGATTAATTTTACCGAAAAGAATAACGCAGAAAAGAAAAACTGACTCGTGATCGAATGATGAAACGGTTATCAAACTCGGTTGCCCCAAAATTTATGCATGATTGTACCCAGAATCAGTTATTTGTTGGAACCTTCATCTTCGACGACTCATGAATTGCTCTGCCCAGCACTGCCAAAAACGTTACTTTTTTCAACTTCGTCTGTTAGTTCCTTCCTAGAAGTTGATTCGACGTCTATGCGATTGCTAAACAATACGGTTTTGAGTGAATTCTTCATTATCAGGCGGGCAGCCTGAAACAACCTAAAGCTACACGTAATACGTGCGACATGGATAAGTTTGTGACGTCATTCAAAATGGTGCCCTAGATGGCGCGTGAAGAGAAACCATGCAGACTCTTCGTTTACTCACTATTCTTTCGCTCTGAGCTTGCTAGATTGCGTTCCTTTGACAAAGAAGATAACTAAAAGGACAGCTGTCACGATGGAGATAACTGCGACTGTCACAACCACGACCATGATAATCTGGGTTTCAAAATCTGCTAAAAAGGAAAACGATTGAATTAAGATAAAGATTGTGTGACTTTCTGATCCACTGGTGACATTACACTAACACAGGACTTCAACGAGCAAAGGAGTAGGAGCGTGCGTGACTAATTGATAAAATGAAGACTGCTGCAAGACGATAAAAGACGACGGAAGATCCCGAAGAACGGCGATTGATCAAATGGAAGAAAACCCGCAGCAAACGAACCCATGAACGAACAGCCGAACGAACCCACGAACGAAGGAGGGAGGGACCGAAAGTACGAATGAACGAGGTAATGACAAACTATAACGAACGAACAAACGAACGAACGAACTAATGAACGCAAGCCAAAGCAACGATCTAACCAACGATCCGGAATCCTAACGGGAAACATAGAAAGAGCCAAAGGAAAGGGCTTTGGGTCACACACTATTACAACTTTAATCCTGTCCTTACCGCGACAAGGTATTGGGTTACAGCTCTGGGTTTCTTGCGTTGTGTTACAGGAGTCACAAGTTCTGTTTCTCGCACGAATTCCTCCATCGCATGTCTGAGAGCAGGCACTCCAGTGGGACCATTGACCTATCAATCAATCAATCAATCAAAGTTTATTGTCTAACGTGAAGCATGGTTGCCCAATTGCCCGAGCCAGAGGCTCATGTATAAAACGGTAGACTATAAATCAACAATAATTAGAGGTATATTATTAGAAGTACTTAAAACTTTATAGGTAAGAATATATAAGTTTAGAGTATGAGTGATAATTGGAAAATTGTAGGTGAGTAATATTGATAGTTAAAAGAGTCTAAAAATCATTTTCTGTGAAAGATATTGCAGTAGATGAATATGAATAAGAATGACAACGTATGTGTATGTACAATAAAATTCAACTACATGTATTACATTTACAGATTGGTCTTAGAGTGCTAAAATCGAAATTCTTAAGTTTACTACAGAAATCGCTAAGCTTAGATGCTGTTTTAATTTCTCTAGGTAAACTGTTCCAAAGGTGACTAGCTTTATATGTAAAGGAATTATGATACGATCTATTATTATACCCTGGTTGCACTAGATTTACACCTTTATTCCTTAAACTATATCTAGATTCCCACAATTGAAAAACGTTTTTACCTATAAAAACAATGAAAAAAAAATTAAATAAGATAAAAATAACAATAATTTAGGGAAAAAATCCTAAACGAGGGTAGTTAAAAAGCTACCTAGCATTTTCGCCGAGATAGAATGCTAAATGTCTCTTATGTAATATGTCCAGCAAGGAAGGTGTAGTCTGCCGGGTTGTATCACATTTATCAGTTCTTCCTTATGAACCTCAAGTAGATGCCGCATTTTTCTTATGGAGTGCGGCATTTAGAAGGCGCCGCTCGTTGACAACTTTGCTTCCGTTTGTAGCGTTCTATTTGGTTGAGGCGTTTCCTATGATATAGGCGTTCATTAGGAATTTTGCATGCGCCTGCGGTGTTTATTCAGGATCGGCGTTCGTTGACCATTTTGCATCCGTCTGCGATGTTTATTTGAAAGCGGCTATTTCATTGAGTAATCCCACGGTATTTCAAAATTAATGCAGTTATACCGACTTGGAAGCATTATTTCCTAGAAAGTTCAATGTCTCTTACTTATATTTTTGGGATTCTGTCAATCACGCCGAGAATTGGTCACTTCGCTGACGGTTGAGCGGCGAAAAATCAGCATTTTTTTTTTTTTAAATATTAACCGGGTGCAACTGCTGCACAAAATTGCAGGCCTGCAGAAGCAGCAATCAAGGGTCCATTCATTTCGGGAGCAGGACCTCTACGATATCAGTGTTTCATTTTAATTCCTAACCTTAAGAATTTTATAAAACTGCCTTAATCTCACTTGAATTCAAAACAAGAATAGCAAATTAAGAAATCAATGAAGACTGTCTGCTAAAAATTGACCGCCCAGGTCTGAAAGGTGACATCGCGGCAAAGTGACTGAAAAGTCACGGGATCTTTGGCTTCAGTCTTACCACGTTTATGAGCTGTCAATTCATTAATGTTTAAGAGTTCTTGTAAAGGGAAAATCCATTTTTGTGATGTGCATTTATTATTTTATACAGTATTCGTGATATCGCGCCCTGTTGTATCTTGATAAGAGAGCAGTCGATGATATTCGTATCACGATTATATCGTAGACATGTTGTCGAAATCCCCTCTACTCAACTCTACCTACCGCGACACTATCAAGATCAGATAAGACAAATGGTTTAATTAAACGAAAGCAAATATTTATCCCGGGTAAATATAAATTTAGGCTACACTTTGACTTTTGCATTTCGCAACGTGTTCATCCATTTCCGGTGTTTTGTTCACGAGATAACTACAATTTACATGTCTTCCTTGAAGCAAATTTTGCCATTCATTCGATCAGTACAGTAAGTCCAAATGGGAAAACAGAAAATCGGCATAGTAAAGGCGAATAAAGCAGTAAATTTGAGCTATTTTGATGACACTGACGCTTACATAAACAAACATTGTGAAGATCGCGATGTGTTGCTCGGAAGGTAATGGTTTTCAAAGAGCTATTTTAATCAAAACACTGTAGAATCACATAATACTTTACTCACCCGGATGGGATGACAATGCAAGCGAAAACCAGGATGCGAAGAAAACAAGCAGGTCTTTGAAATCAAGCATCTTAACAATGAAACTTAACCGTGTAAATGGTCAGAATGTTCTCGCATTTGTAAAATGAACCCTTCTTCAGCTTCTGTTAATTTGTAAGAATCGCAGAATTTCAAATTCTGTTTCAGTCTAATGCAGTATTTCGGACGAAAATCCTCAGTATCCTTTTTGTTTTCCTTTCAATCGATGAATAAAAAAACACTTTGGCCCTCAGGATCTTGACCAACGATCAAAAGACATGAAGCTCTATGCTAATTTAGTGTTTATGCTGGTGAACTATAAAAGATAAAAGGTTAAGCTAATTTATGCAAATAAGTTAAAGCGGATATACTATCAAATACTGCATATATTAAACATTACGTCATACGACAAAATTCATTTATTAAACTTCCTAAGCATTTCTTTTCGTGATAAAAGCCGAATCCTTTCCTTTATTGATGATCGAAAGTGAGGCTTGTCGATGAAACTACTTTCAAAAATATTCTTCGACTTTTTCATCTCGTGGTTTCTTCCGTAATTGCAATTTCCCGCCTCATAACTAGACAGGGTCTCACTACCAAAAGAAACCTATCTTAGCCAATTAGAGTGAATTAGAAACGAAAATTTATGCCCTCCACAACCCTTCATTTAATTCTATAGCACGGTAGAAACAGGGAATTTTCGTGAGAAACGATTCTTTCCTCAGCCCCCTTCCCTCTCCCCCTTAAATTTTGAATGACCGCTAAGGTAAAGGATAGGTTGAACGGGATACTAAATCAGAAAGTTACAAGATTCGTTCCTTTCGAAACCGTACTGTATGCCAATAAAAGAAACTAAATGAATGAAATGATATGTTCACTGTCAGATTGGAGGCCTGCATGCATAACGCACGTGGGTCTCCAGCCCTTGTTTTGGCTGGATATTTGCAAGCAAATGTGATACAGCTTTCGAGGTCTTGAGAGTTAAACAGGATGTGAGACTTCACAATTTCACAATTTAAAAAGCGAGCATTAGCGTTTACAGTCCACCGTTCAGGCAAAAAGATACATCTATGATATTCCGACTAAATATGAGGCCAACTGAAGCTGACATACAACAATCGCTGTTGATTCCTTTTTCTCAATCAGGGTAAAGAAATAAGATAATTTTCTGAAACAGGGTCAGAGTCTTATGTCTTCTGCCACACGACGCCAACTAACCCCCACCCCCTGGTGTTTTGCTGACCCTATTGCTTTCCCGAGGGGTTTCTGTATTGTCTGAAATAAGCAGATCTTGTCGTTGATGAAGGGACGCCTTTTGCTCCAAAAATAACCAACTTTATTTATCGCACTATTTTTGCTGTTTCTTTTCGTATTGAAATGTAATTATTCATCGTCGCAACAATTTAGAAAATAAGCCTCCTAATTTCTCACGAATGCTAAGTATTAGAAGTATCTGTGACAAAGTCACGCAAGCTATTTATTAATCATTCTGTTAGGCCAACGACCATGCCTGTCACGTAACCGATAAGGTATTAGTACTTTAGACCTGTCACGCAATTCATCAGGTGTTATGTACCTGTCACACTATCTTTTTTAGATGGTTAAACTAATATTTTGCATGGCATAAGGTACTAGTACTTTATACCTGTCACGCAATTCATCAGGTGTTATGTACCTGTTACACTATCTTGTTTAGATGTTTAACTAACATAACATAACAAAAAAAAACAAACAAACAACAAAAACAGCTGAACGAAGATAATTCTCTTGCTACAGCTTGACATCTTTTGAGGGTTTGACCACCACACTATAAACGGGTTCGAGCGGAGGTACTTGAGAGACCGGCTTCTGGTCTTTGTCTAGAACTTGTGTCTCTGTCACGGAAACAACCTTTAGAGAAACTCTTTTTTCATTCTTGGGCTGCTCTTTGGGCTGGAACTCCTCATCGGCGCCAAAAGAGCAAGTAACTTCTCTGATGCTCTCATCCAGACTTTCAGTGTCAAAAACGAAGCTGTCGAGTCCAATCTCCTCGGGTTCCGGGAGAGGTTCGGGGAAGCTTTCGGCTGACGGCATGCGACGAATGGTAGAACTATGGGTACTGATTGAGTCGTCGTACATTCGTTCGATGGCATTAGACATGTTGCTGAAGAAAAAAAGAAAGAAGAATTCAAATTCAGCTCATAAAAATTTGCAGCTAAGGCAATTTTTGGCTTGCGTCATAAAAAACCTCTCCCATGGCCACTGAGTTACGCGGTATCTGGGGCACGAAATTAGGTTACATAACATTGGCTTGCTCTATCAATTTATGGAATGGATTGCTTCGGCTCCAGTCTCCCAGCTGGACTAAATCTGTTCACGATTCTATTATTGCTCGGGCGAAAAGGGAGAAAATGGTGACCGCATAGGAAATAATTTTGGAACAAAAGAGTAATCCTTCGGACTCACCTGTGGTCATGTTTTAGTCTGGACTTTTCCTTTTTGATTTTAAAGAGCATCACAAAAATTATTATGAGTACCGCGACAATGGCGGCGCAAATCACGGCCAATGCTATAATCATTTCTAAACCTAGATAAAAAGAAATAGCAATTAATAAGGTGTTATTTCACTAGAGGAATTCTTAAGATAGTCGTTTCTGAGTTATTATTAGGGACCTTAGACAGTGAGGACCATGAGGCCGTGGAAGACATCGATAAAAAAGGTAATTTTATTTCAAGCTCTTAGTTAGAATTTCGCGCTTGCTCGGATGTTTTTGTACCGTCTCTTAAAGCGCCACCGTTGAGCAGCGTTGAGTCTCAAGTGGAAACAATTTGCCGTCGGAGTTTCTGTTCTTAGACCGTACGAATTTTTGGTGATTTCACCTTTTTGTTTTGCATAGGACGGCTCAGAAACGTACACAACTTTAGCTTTAAAACGCACGTGCTGAGCTATCATTCTACCCATGACATCTTTTGTTTGCCACGTCCTCGTTGCCATATATAGCTGTAGCAGTCACAGATGTCAAGCTCCTTAACCGAAGAAATTGCCAGCCAGCGCGTAAAAGATATCAGTGGCTTAAGATAGCTAGCACCACAATGGCTGTCCTGACAAGAAAGTTTTGTTCTGATCTCTGGTGAACATCGCTGACCTACCTCGAAATGGTTATCGTGGGTCGTCTGTGGTTGGAGCCAGTCATTAAAATGTGAAAAGTTACATATTTTAGATCTAGACTATTTACAACAGAAGTTAATAAAGGAAGTCTTACAACAATCACTTACTAAAACAAGATGAAGAGCTACATTTTCTCTTATCCACCAAGCTCTGTTCACAAGGAGATGAGAATGTACACGCACGAGTCCTCGTTTGTTCACCATCACAAGCCTTAGAGCATTCGCCCCAGGGACCCCAGTTACCAAGAGACTGCCCAACTGTAAGATTAAAAAAATTATTATGTCAACAGGGAAACGTGCATATCCTTAATTGCACCCTACGCAACGCACGAATGATATATCTAGTCAAACCTGATCGATTAGAATTGAAATCAGCAGGTTTGAAACAAGTGCAAATAGATAAGAAGCATGATTTTCAATAACCATAAAGCAGATAGAATAAAATAAGAGGACTGCGAGAATCAGATATTGGCACCTGACTGAAATTATTTAAAAAAAGACCTTGATTCTACGTTTGAGAAGCCTGTGGTGGGATTAGGTGGAAATAGTATCTGAACAACTACCGAGGCTGGTTTAAAACGGTTTCGTTTCCACCAAGTCGTCTGAGCGTCCTTTTTAATTTCACTCTATTTGAAGTACTCAAAAGATTGAAAACTTTCGATTAAGCATTGTAAAAGGCCAAGGAATGACTTTGGTGGACTCGTCTACATCTAATAACTGAGCAAGAAGAAAAACTGAATTTGTAAAGAGATTCTTAATTTCGAAATTTAATCGCTATCGCTGAGCTCTCTACAATTCACTAACGCTAAGTTACTGGCTTAAAATCAGGAGTTATCGATAAAAGTTCAAGAATTTCCTTATTATAAAAGGAAACGAAACCATTTGAATACGAATCAATTTTACGCTTTAATTCCTCCAATTGGCGCCGTGTTGTTAATCATGAATAGTCCACCAAAACATGTTATCGCCATGAACGACATCGAAATTAAATGGCAGAGACTTGAAAATAAATTATTAATCAGAATTGGTATATCTGTTTACTTGTATTTCGTGTAAAGTAGAATCTTTAGTTTACAATCCGGAGAAATAAACGGCTTGCTGGCGAGAAACGAAACATTATCGCTGTATTAATCAACACCCTTCAAAGATCATTATAACGTTTGCCGTGAGTAAACCAATGAGCCAAATTAAAAGCGGAAATAACAATGATAAAGATAGACGAATTCGAAAGTGATTGCCAATGGGTAACAGTTTTCAAGGCAGCCAAACTACATTTTATATATCCTAAATAGCTTCAAAGATGGCTTGTAACGCATTTGAGCGCAGAAATCACCGAATAGAGCACAAGGGTGGTTAAATATCGCAGTGATTGCATTCGCGAGTCGATTTTGCTAGCCTCTACCACGAAATTGTTAACTTTCTTCGATGCAAATATTAGGGAGACCTAACTAAAAAGTTTCTAATTGAACAGGTAAATAAATTTACGACAACAGCGGTAGTTTAACGTACTCACTTGCTTCGTGGAAAGGAAATATTTCTTGGAAAACAGCCATAAGGTACAGTCTGGTTGAAACAAATGCCATCTTGCTGTAAACCAAAAGTTTTGAAACGTTTCCTCTTTTAACCGCAGAACCCTTCAAAGTGTCACTATTCAGAGCCAAACGTTGTAAAAACTACTTAAATTGCAGGTGTAGGTCATAAACAAACGCTAGACTGAAACAAAAGCTAGCTTGCTGATTTAAGGACCTTTCTACAGTAAACTACAGATCTCTGAGTATCATAGTTTCGACATTTTTTCAGAGTTTCGACCCTCGAAATTACATTTACTAATGCCGCGCGGTTAAAAAGACTCTAAATGACTATTATTTTCCAAACGGTTGCTTTCGTCACAGCAGTCAGAAATAGCCTCTGTTGGAGTCGAAAAAAAAAAAAAACACAAAGAACAAATTTTTGCCCGAGGCTTGTTGCGATGATCCGATGAAAAATACAACAACAGGAAGCTTTGGGCATGACTGCACTTAATTGTTTCCCTATTTGACCGCGAAAATGCTCGTATTTACAACATCTTCTAGTGCTTTCTACGTGAGATTTCAATCTTGATAATTATTTTTGCATTAGAAACAAAACTTGGTTTCAAAAAGTACTTCAGATCTTATTGGTACTAAGGGTAAGCGTTGGTTTAAAGACTCTCATCCGGTCTCTTTTTAGTTTTAGCTCTTGGATTATTCACAGCATTTTGAGATCGATGAAGCCGCACAGGAATTTATTGGTTTCGAGGTCAATTATTTACTGATGTTAGTGGCCGCTCATTATTTACCACCTAGGGGAGTGGGGTCAGTGTATTTTGGTTTTTTATTCCCGACGAAACTTACAAGATTCCCCGTCCCCATGAGGCTCTGTAAAGCACATTTGTTTTTCTATAGTCCACCTTTTTCAAACAAAGCTAAACTACATATTGCAATGATAAGAGATGAATCTCGACCTGAAAAGATTAAACTCTTATAAGATAATCCTGGGCCTTTCCATAAAATGGTGTTAGGAACATGCAGGTCGTTTCATGCGCCACAAAATTCGCAATTGATTTACGACCATCATATGAACTATTTTGTTGCTCGCGCTCCGGGCCTGGAGCCGAGTGGAGAGGGGGGACTTAAAGAAGATGTGCCAGACGGAAGAGATGCCTCGGCCGAAGTGGGCTAGATGGTCCGCCGCTCTGGGGCCATAGACGCGCGCTCCTCCCCTAAAGCGAAGGCATTCGATTCATAAATTCAAATTATAGTGTAAAACCAAAGGTTAATTCGGAAACAGATCGGCGGGACCGCAAATAAGATTATTGCAAAATTTACCGACCTTAAACATACGCGCATGACATCCACGCGCTATAACGCCATGCGTGTTTTTCCCACAATGCTTGAAGGGACGATCGGACCCAGACTTCCCTCCAGTACAGCAAGCATGAGCTTTGATATTTTCTGATCAGTGTAGTCAAAATTGTCTTGCAATTTGCCCTTTTTCTGAACTTTGGGGCCTTGTTAGGCCCAGAGAGGAATGAATGCTGCCAACAACGAAGCATGCTGACTTATCTCCGGGGTCTAGCGTACACGAAAGAGAAACAAACGTGGCGGAAAACGGCGGACCAAGGAAGAAGCGGCGACTGAGCAACAACGTCAGGAACGGAACGTGTAAGGCAAGCCCCGATCCTCTGCAGAGTGAATTGAATTTTCACCCTCACAAGAAACAAAAGACAATTCTTGTTCCGGGAGGCGTCGAAAACGCTGGTTCCTCGATGGCTGAGCCGCAGAGAAAGGCGAATTTTTCTGCTTACGGAAATCACTTTCACGAACGCTCTCCCCTTGCAAACAATTCTGCTAAGCCAGGCCAGGCCAAGAAGCTTGTGATTAAGAACTTTAAAGGTGAGTTTTTATTCCCTCTCCTTTTTTCCTGAGGCTCAAAAGGTAGAAACATTATGTTTTTAAACTGTGTTATCTCTCAAAGACGCTCGTGAGCATTCGTAATGAAAATGTACGCTTTATTCAGACTAAACGTTGTAATAACACAGGTTAATTGCATAGCTTACATGAACCGCTTCGTTTTGTGAACAAAATAACTGCAATTCTTCAGCTAAAGCATCGACGAATGAATATTTTTCAATTCATTTCTGTGATCAGCGCCTTCGCTTACTTCTCTTTCGGTTGAAGTGCATAATGTCCATTACTACCATTAGAAAGCAAAATGTTGTTATCGTCACAAATGTAAAATTGGAAGATCAGTTGATTTAGCGCAGGATAGCATCTCTGTTTAGAACGTACTACTGGAAAGTGCATCAAATTGTTCGATATCTTTAATCTTTTTTTGCGTTTGACTGATTAATCACCGACATGACAGTGAATTTGCGTTTTAATGAAACTTCCAAAATCCAATAAGTACTCGCTAAACTTCATACAAAATTCTCGCAGATGTACACAGTACATAAGAGACATATTATGCATAACGAAGATTAATTATTGTCAAAGCTAAACACAAACAATTTGATCTGAATCACAGTTTTTATTTCTGTGGTATTTGATTTAAAACATAGCAATTTTGTGGAATGAGGCAATCGCTGTTCTGTAGAGATGCTAGATTATTTTCTTTAACTCGCTCCCAGACTAGTTCCAATATTGTAATTTCATGAACATCAGGATGTACTGTAATTCTCTAAACAAATAGTTAAATGTGATTAGCAGTTAAATTACATTAACCCTTTAAATCTCACTCACTCTTTAACTTCCAGAAGTGATGAATGTGTAAATTCTCCTTAAAAAAATCCATATGTTATCATGCAAAAAGATAATGAGAATACTCATACTTATCAGGTGAAGGTCTTTTATCTTGATCTAACACCAAATTCTGGTAATTAACTTACCAGGAAATGTGGCATCTAGAGGGTAGAATTAACTATCAGATCTTGGGAATAAAAAGGTTAAGAATGATATCACAGAAGACCTTGTTGTGCTGTGTAGTTTAAAGGATAAATCCAGAGCATGCAGTCAAATTTTTGTAATTTATTTTTTAAACTCAAAAATTGCCTACACCTCATTAAAACTGGCAGTTCTCCAGAACTTAAGCCAGACTGTGGAATTATATTTGAACGACTATAGGATTACACAGTGACTTGTTTTGTACTAATTACAAGTAAACAGATTCAGGAGTGAACACTTAGGGCGGTGTACAAAACTAGATCAGCGTCCTGTATCAAGAACTGCTAAGTCGCGCCAAACTACCGACATTGTACAATCAGCGCCTACAAGACATTGCCACTTTGATGTTTAAAGTTAAGCACAGTCTCGTACCCGAGAATAGTTATGATTTATTCAATATAAAGAACATTCAGTATAACTTACGGAAGAGTGACCTCAAACTGCCAAGATTCAAAACTGTAAGATTTGGTAGGAATTCTATTAAATATATGGGACCTCTCATTTGGTCGAAGTTACCAAGACACCTACATGCAGTAAATGGTTTGAACCCGGGGGTAACATGTGAAGGTGTAGTCTGATGGTCAGAGTCAAGACTCTTCCGCACAGGTTGTCAAAACGTCAGTCACTACCACCGACAACAGTCCTTCTCAGGACTACTCTCACCCGGACAATCAGACTACACCTTCACAAGACACCTACATGCAAGAACAATAGAAACTCTAAATTCGTTCAATAAGAACATAAGAAAAGTCGACCTTTCAACTCTTGTTGAAATTTAAAACTTAACTAAATAACTTTATAATCTTTTTAATTATCTACTGTAAATAACCATTATCTCCATAATTATGTAAATGTATTTGACTTTTAAATTTTTTAGTGTCCCCGATTAGCTTACAGCTTAAAACATAGACACTTAAATAAAGTTTTTCATTCATTCATTCATTTATCTCTTTAACTCCAGAAGTGGTTGACGTGTAACTTCTCTCTGTAATAATCATGCATTATCTAGCAAACAGATAACAAGATTACTCAAACTTACCTCATAGAAGTTGTTATCTTGATCTAACCTCAAAATCTTGTAATTAACTTAAATGGAAATGTTTAACAGCTAGAGCAGAATGTTAATACTCACATCTTGAGATTTAAAAGGTTATCTAATACTTTGTTAATTATCAAAGTAAGGTTTTTCCTCATTGCAAATTTGTCAACTGAAAATTTGAGTTTTGGTAAATATAATTTATGATTTGGTAAGTTTTTTTTATCTCTGTAGGACAAAAAACAAACAATGATATTTATGAATCTGTATTTTAAAGAGCAGGAAAACTCATCTTGATATAATATTTTAATAGGAATTTGGACACTTGTGACAGTTTAAGTGTCATTGTAAATCTTTGGAGTGGCTGGAAAATTGATATGATTCATGGAAAGTGGCAGAAAATCACTTCTGAAATGGGAAGAAGCCTCAAAGAGTGAGATTCCATGCTCTGGAACTTATTGGTTCATGACTGTGCTGCCTACAACAATATGTTTCAATCCTGGGGAGCATTTTCCTAACAGCCAGACCCCATCATCTCCTAGAACCAAACCTGATCAATGTCATATTTACTTTGTGTTTGTCTTTCTAGCCAAGCCAAATTTACCCGAGAACTTCAAGGAAGCAACGTGGCAGAAATTAAAGGAGGCAGTGCAAGCAATTCACAAGAAAACTTTTGTCATTTACAGCTCGGAAGAACTTTATAAAGCTGTTGAAAACATGTGCTCACACAAAATGGCTGCTACGTTGTATGACTTGTTAAAGGCAGAGTGTGAATCACATGTGAAGTCAAGTCTTCAACAGTTTGTTTGATATCCTTTTTGATTTTCCTTACATTTGCATGTTGTTGAGGGCTTTTCTAACAAAAAAGGTAGCTCATCACTTTTTGGGACTGACTTTTTATTGTTTTGTGGGATTAAGCTAACTTTTGGCAGACTGGTTGAATTGTGCTTAGTTCCAAGGAAATTGTACCATTTGAGAAGAGGTGCCATTTGAAAGCTTTAAAACATATTCTGAACATTACCAAAAATAAAAGCAGATTAGACAGTGGGCTTCTTGGCACAGTTCCTTTCTTAAAACTTTCAGGGGAACTTTTATCATGTTAAAACAGATCAGTCTGGTTAAAGTAAGCTCAATCTTTTAGAAGTGAAAATCACCCCAAAAGTTGATACACACCCTAATTGTGAAAAAGTCTTCCAAATCAATTATTCTCTTTATTTGGAAGATTATACTTCCCATTTTTGTACATATACAGACCTATAGCATGCATTTCAGAAGTGCAGTACATACACATACCTGCATATAACAGAAGAAGACAACCCTTAGAAGAAAATTTGCTGTCTTGTTGATTAAACCGCGAACTCCTTAACTACCAGTCACTGATTCAATGGATAGTGAGTTGTACCTGACAAAACTAAACCACTGTTGGGAAAACCACTGCAGGGATATGGTATGTTCACTCAAAAGACAGGGGTTTTAATAAGGTTTGAAGTTGATAACAAAGAAATTGCCAAGTAGTCAGCTAATGGAAGGTGGATCTCCATTCTAATTTTTTTATATTCAAAGAAAATAAGTGGCTATTTTGCTTGTTATACATGTACATGTATGTGTAGATTAGTTAAAGTCTAATGTTCAGACTTCACCTTTAACGTGTAGACTGTGAATTATGCAGGCAGCTAGCTCATACTGAATCCCCTGGTAGAGGATTTTAAACTTTTTAGTGTGGTCATATGTATCCATACATGTACTTAAATACTCAGCAAAGCAAAGAAGTGAATAAGTTTTCTTTCCTTTTTTTTTGTCTCTCTCTGGCAGATTATGATTAGAAGCATTTTTCTGTATCTGGATAGAACATATGTTCTTCAGAACTCAACAATATTATCCCTGTGGTAAGAAAAATCCACCCGTTCAAAACATAGTTGTTTTTCATACTACTCCAGGCCTCTGTTATGACAGCTGTGTGGTAGTATTGTTCCAGAATAGATATCAAAATAGTTTCTTTTTTCCCTATAACTCCCAGAAGATCTTCGAGAGAAAAGGTATCTGCTATACCCTTCCAACAGACATTTAATGAGAGTAAACCATTTTCAGACAGAGTGTTATTTTGTTATGGCAACAAGTCTTGTTGTCTTTGGACCCTTTAGAGTGATTAGCATCTAATTTCTCCTTACAGTATCACCCCTGAATCACACATTAAGGTCAGGAGAATAAAGGAAATGATCACCAACTAAAGAAGCTCTTGATTGTTAAAGAAATTCTCCTTGTCAGCTCCTTAGTAAATATGTAGAGAACAGTAAAGGGAATATGCAAGATTAACCCTGTCACTCTCAAGATCTAATTAGCGCTTCTCCTACAGGGTTTTCAAATTTAGCGGGCACCCAGCGCAAGTCACTGGCTACTTCAAGCATTTGGGCGGGGTACTTTTGGTATTCTAGCGCCCCACCCCACAAGGCAGTTGTTATCATGATGAGATAGTGTTCTGGCCACTTTACAATTTTCTCTTGCTCCTTTTTTTCAATTTGAAAACCCTGCTCTTAACTGTCTACCATACAACTCTAATGATGTTAATTTGGAGAATTTGGTATTGGATCTACTAATAATCCCTCAATTGATATTTTTCTATTCTAATCATTTGTCTGCTTGATATTGTATAAATATTTTAAGGGTTAAGGTAATCAGGTTAACATATGTATTTATTATTTTCTGCTCTAGGGATATGAGCCTGAATTTATTTCGCACATACATTATGAGCAATAAGACAGTTCAAGAAAGAACAGTGGATGGCTTACTGCAGTTAATAGAAAATGAAAGGTGAGAATTAGTTAAACTACAGGAATTATTCTTAGTATAATTTTATGTCATGCAGTCCAGTGAACAGTGGTTTTCATGCATATTGACTGGCTACCTCCAAAGATAGCACAGCAAGATTTTCATCAGAATTATTTTAGCTGTGTCTGCTTATTGTCAGAAGTAAGGAGAATTTTTAGTCCTCTATGATTCAAATCTCTGCATAGATACACATAATAAAGTAATTTGCTTTAGGTTTTTAATGAAAGTGATGAATATTTACCTTGTTGCTTCCAGGCTCCATAAATATCCACTACGATTTACCTCCTCTTTCATGAATTATGGTTACTTATGCGAAGGAAACTGTAGTGCTGCATAGCTCAGGGTGTAACAGGATAATTTGATTTTATCAACTGAGTTGATCTTTCAAGCAGTAGCCCCTGAGTCTTAGACGAAGACTTTAAGCTCAAATCGTCAGTGGGTAATTCAAATTATTAAGTCAATAAAACCACATTATGGTTACTTATTTCTCATTGTACTTCCTTAAACATGTATACAATTTACAATTATACTCTAGGCATGTGAAGCCACAATTATCATCTTCTTGATTATTTGCTGTTAGGGAGATATTCTGCATAGCAGATATTTTTTTTAAAAAAGTCCGACATAGAAGAGTAACCTATATTAGCCGTAAAAATCTTGAACAAAAGCTCATCTTTCAAACCGGCAGTCTAAATCCCACAGGGATCAACAAACGCTTTTCATTCCACTAATTTATTCTTGTTTTTCTCTTTGCCATGTTCCCACCAATAACGCAGCTCCATTTCCTGCCTTTAAAAGCACACACAACCCACAATTCCTCTGTTTGCTCTGACGAAGAGCTAACGCTCAAAACGTCAGCTTTTGTAATCGTCACAGCCAATTTACCATTTCAACTTTGTTGATATATGCAAATTATAACCTATATTTTGTTTACTCAATGTATATATATTACTGACAATAACAACAATTTTAATGATTGATTAGATCGGGAGAATATTCAGATACATACTATCGGAATTGTTGTTACTATTTTTGTTAGCTTTGTGTCTTTTGAGTGTGTTTCTTTGTTAGGTCCACTTAATGATGTCCAAGCCCAGTGCTTATAATGTTTATTAGAAAGAGATTTTGTAAAAAGTAATGGTTTCAATCTGTGTTCCTTTTCTATTTCTAGACATGGTGAGGCAGTGGACAGAACGTTACTTAAAAGCTTGTTGAGAATGTTAGCTGACTTGCAGGTAAATTCTTGCATGAATGCACAAGGTACACTGAAGTTTACAACTCACTGTCACCTCACTTGCCCTAAGGTGGGTACCCTGGGGGGTATTGGGGGGGGGGCTTCCACTACTCCATGTTTAGTCAGTCACAGTTAGACTCTTGATATAATTTTCCCTTTACCAAGGCTGAGAAATTTCTACAACCCAGATTAGTTTAGTGTATAGAAAGAAAATAGGAAGGGAAGGGTGAGGGGGAATTATAACCACTTAAATGCTATTTTAGACTACTAAAAAAGACAGCTGCTTCCAAACTGTTAAAAACACAAAGATCTTGTGGTAACAGAAGGTCAATTTTCCACTTGACCTGGTAGCTGAGATTGACTATTCTCGCAAAAGCTTTTGAAGCTTGCAACAGTTATCTTAATTTGTTAGAACTGTCAGTTAACTAACTGAAGGATAACAGGGGTCTATTTAGATCACATTAGTTATTTTTTATTGGTTGTAACTTCCTTTTTTTATCTGAGGGCTAAATAAAATCTTTAGCCTAGGAAAGCAGCCAAAACTAAGTTGAATATTCTTTGTTCTTCTTTCCTATCTCTTTAAGTTTTCAAGTTCACCTTCAGCATGGCAGTTGTGTCTGAGATGTTTGCACCACAACCTTTCAATTTTCATTCTGATCCCTAAGATGTGGTGCATTATTATTTTAAATTTATTCATTTCATGTTGCATTGCTACATCTGTAGTTGATTGTGAAGTCATTGAAAGAATGAATTTGTGTTGTTTGCTTAGATGTATGAGGATGCATTTGAAACAAAGTTACTGAAGGCAACAGAAGTTCTTTACCATGAGGAGGGAAACAGATACATGCAAGAGACAGATGTAATTTTCAATCCTTTCAACAAAGATAAAACAACTTTTAATGAGAAGGACATTGGCTTTGCTTTATTTTGCTCTGTTTTTGGTCAAGAAATCCTGTACCACCCCCCTTTCAATTACATACTAAACAATTATACAGTGTAACCAATAGTAACATAGTCACCTGCATTGCTTTAATTTGAAGCTCTTAAAATTATGTTTGTATGGTGAAAAATGTACTTTTGTTAAATTGCTAATTTTTGCATTTAAACTGGTGATGTAAAAAGTCCAACAGATATGTCAACAGCAGAGTTTTTTCCTGTGTTTTAATGAGCTTCATGGAATTGTAAAATTATAAAGCATTGTAGGTTTAATTTGTTTTCTTGTTTCTTTTTGAAATCACCAGGTACCAAAGTATCTAGCTCATGTGGACAGAAGACTCAAAGAAGAAAGTGACAGACTGCTTCACTATTTAGATCAATCTACAAGGTACGGTTACTGTAATTGCTCTTGTTACTTTGGGATAGAAGTGGGGAATGGGGTTGTGCAATTAGTTGAGTTTACAGTGACTAGAGGAGGGTGTTAGAAGAACCTTCAGTAGAAAGATTTTTGAAGGAAATGGAAGCTTGAGCTATTAAAAGCTTGGTGTGGAAGTGCTGCAATTGCAAATTAAACTCCAAAGTTGCATTGTAGTGAAAAGACCTATAAACATGTTTTCATACTGCATGAAAGTGTGTCAGTACTTTGTAATTAGGAATGTTTCTAAATTTGTTTTTTCCCAGAAAACCACTCATTCCTTGTATTGAAAAACAACTGCTAGGCCAACACTTGACCAGGATTCTCCAAAAAGGTGGGTTTTTCCTGTGTACTTACTGAATCTCTGGTGGTTTGTTGGACAATTACATGCAACACATGCTTCTGTGTTATGAACAAAGGAGCTTGTATGTGATGTCAGCTAACGTGTACTTAACATTAGTTTATGTAAGCAAGCCTTGTACATATTAGGTACAGGGCTTGCTTATTTGACTGATATGACTTTTATTTGTGTTGCCACCTGATCTTTCTCACATTTCAGAAGTTCTCTATAACTAGACTTAGAGCATAATCGTTAATCATGTATTTCTGGTGGGTGTGCTTCTCCTTTAGGTTTTGACAGCTTAATGGCAAGTTACAGACTCAGTGATCTAGCCCTATTGTACCAGTTGTTCAGCAGAGTTAAAAGAGGACAAGATGAATTATGCAATGCTTTTAACGAATACATCAAGGTAAAGGTGGAGATGCAGGAATTTCAATTGACACTTTCGCTTGTGTGGTGTTGCTTTGTAAGGAAACCATCTACTTTGGTTGATATCGATCAATACTCTGGTGAACAGAAGTTACCTTTACCTTCGTTTCATGCCAAGAGCTTGGGTTGCCTTCACTTAAACAGGCTCCTCCAATCAAAATAATAACTCAAACGGAGCAACTTGCGATTAAGTGTTGAAAGGAACCGAGGGTTGCTTTTGTGTTTTTTTTTCAATACATCTCTCTGTGATTTGTCCAGAAAACTTTCCATTTTTTTAACCAATCGGATTCAAAATTGAAACCAGCGATGACGAGCTGGTCACCCGCGTTTTCCCGCACTTTTGGAAGGTTGAGTTTTTATTGGTTAATGATGATGTCAACCTTTGTTTTGATTGGCCATCGTGTTCACATTGAGTTTTTATTGGTTAATGATGATGTCAACCTCTGTTTTGATTGGCCGTTGTGGTCACTTCCGGTGTAAATTTTTGACTCCTCGATTAAAAACTATTTTACTTTTTTGACGTTTTTTATTTATCGTTATTATCCAGAAACAAGGAACTAGCATTGTTCTTGATCCTGAAAAAGATAAAAGTATGGTACAAGATTTGCTGGATTTCAAAGAGCAGCTGGATAGCATCATAGAAGATGCTTTTATGAAGAGCGAGAAGTTTGTTAATGCAATGAAGGTAAAACTGTTATGCTGCTTAGAAATTGGTGATGTTCTAGGATTCCCTCTGTGTATAAAACTCGATATCTTCACCTTGACTAGTGAACGTGGAATTTACATCTTGCGCGTGTGACGATAGCAGTGTTGTCCAGGTAACCGAAGCATGAACGTGGCATTGTTTCACCTCTGAATGGCTTTTTGAAGTTGAAACTAGTTCATCTTCTAGCATGAAGATCATCTGAGTTCATCGAGTGTTCTCATAGATAAATTTGCATTCGCATGCGGCAATGTATTTACTTCTTTGGAAACGTGAGTTATAATCCAAATAGTTATGATTCAATGCAATTCTCGTGCAGTGATCAGAAAGGAAGCTATTCTCATGACAAGTCCTCAAGATCATATAATTATGTCAGATCTAGCTAAGTGCCATTCCTTTATATTCTTGCGGAAAATTTCCCTAACATTTAAGATTGACTGTGTTGTTTCTGTCTGTCGTTGTAGGATGCCTTTGAAGCATTTATCAACAAGAGACCAAACAAACCTGCAGAATTAATTGGTAAAGAAAACACGAAGCAGTACAGTTAGTTATTTCTGTCTTGGAACTGATTAGCTTTATAGCTGCTTTCAGTGCAAACTGTTTTGTTTAGGCGGGTGGAGTGTGCAAAGGGGAAGAACCCCCAACCCCTCTCCCCTTGTGTTCATTTTCCTCTCCTCCCTGGGTGGAAATTTATATTTCTCCCCAGCCATCATTTGGTTGAAAATTCCAACACAGCGGCCAGTCTTTTCGCCAATAAGTACGGAGAGCATTTTTACCAAAGATACGTTCCTGAACACTTCGACAGCTTTAAATCAACACTAAATTCACATGGTTACAACACCAGAAATGGACACCTTCCACACTTTGGCAAAATTGGAATGAAAGGAGGACGACACATAACATCTTATCAAGCAACAAACGAATGGTTGGCTTTTCCGCTTGAGTTGAAAAAGCCTATGCCACCATTAATTTTTAAAAGACACTTAAATAATTAACTTTTTTAAAATTACGTTGTAAATCTTAGCATATTCTTAATTTTAGTATTTTAATCTCGGTGCTTTTACATTCTTCTAACACCTACATATACAATTTTTCTTTTAAATTTTTATCTCGTTTTTACCTAATCTAAATGTATTTTTAGTTAGAGGACCCCCCTGAAAACCACTCAGTGTGATGGGAGTATCCTCTTTAAATATTATTTATTATTAAATATTATTTATTATTAAATATTATTTATTATTATATTGTTATTATTTATTATTAAATATTATTTATTATTATTATATTGTTATTATTTATTATTAAATATTATTTATTATTATTATATTGTTATTATGTTGCATGTAGCTAGGAGTACAGGGTTTGTTACTATATACATTGCGGCACTGTACGGTAACTTCATGATTACTTCTTTTTTTCTTTCTTTCTTCCTTTCTTTCTTTCTTTCTTTCTTTCACTTCAGCAAAATTTGTGGATTCCAAGCTAAGAGCAGGAAACAAGGTAAATAAAAACAAACAAACAAACAAAGAGTTAAACGCAATTTTGCTTGTGTTTTTAATCCTTTGACCTTCAAGAATGACCAGCAGTTGTGGCTTTTGTTTGATCAGCATCTATTTTCTTCTTTCAATATCAGCCCTTAATCAAATAGCAAAGTCAGGAGAATAAAGAAAATGATCGCCAAATAAAGAAACTCTTGATTATTAAACAACTTCTCATTGTCAGCACCTTAGAAAATGTACAGAGAACAGTATGGAGAATATGCATACTGATGTTAGGGTGTGATTAGTTAATGGTGAGCATTAGTGGAGGCTGGAAAATTCCTTTTTATCTGAAAATTTTTATACAATCCTTGTAGGAAGCAACTGAAGAGGAACTTGAAAAACTTTTAGACAGAATAATGGTGCTCTTCAGATTTATCCATGGTACGTACATGTGTATAAGCATCAGATGAGATTATTAACTACTCGAGGACATTAGCGCACCTACCTATCACAGTACTAGTGTCCGTAACTGTGTGCGCGTTGCGGACCAATCCAATTTTTTGAAGCCTTGTTGTTATCCTGTCCTCAGGTAAAGACGTGTTTGAAGCTTTCTACAAGAAAGATCTCGCAAAGAGACTATTGGTTGGCAAGAGTGCGTCAGTGGATGCAGAAAAATCAATGCTTTCTAAACTGAAACAAGAATGCGGTGCCGCATTCACAAGCAAGCTTGAGGGCATGTTCAAAGACATGGAGCTTTCCAAGGATGTGCTGGTTCACTTTAAACAGGTGAATGAAATAGAGTAGCAAGAGCGACATCGCGTCCTTTTCCTGCCAATATTGTTGGATCGTTCTCTGTAATGTCGACGGGCCGAAATGTAACATTCATGGTTGGAAAAGTTCTTCATCTTACTGCAGTGTACGTCTTTGTGTCATGAGCCTTTTTGGTGTGACTGCGAGTTTCATTCAGTGGTTAGGTTTAAAGCAGGCTCATGACTCGTGTCATTCGAGACTATTTCGGGATCTTTCGAAGAGTCCCCCTTTGTGGGGAATAGTAATTGGGTAGGTCTTATTGGTTTGTTCTTCGATTGGGTCGCTGCCTCGACCAATTTGTCAAAGTGCTTTTTCTCCTCTTTGGGTTTGACTCAGATTTCCTCGCCGTGTCTGGTACAATCGGAGAACTAGGCCAAGTTTCCCAATAACAGTTCACAAATATGGAGGTTAAGTTTGTTGTCAGTGACTGTTTTCCTGAGCTCAAATCCATAAAAATTGGAAAGTACAACTAAATATGCCTCAACTATGACCAAGCATTTTTAAATAATAACTTATTCTGTATGTTACTGTTCATACTTCGTTGCTCTCAAATTTGTGAGATGCGCATTGACTTTATTACTTATTGTTTCACAGTATCTGCAGCACCAGGACCTCCCAGGCAGTGTAGACATGGTTGTCAGCATTCTCACTATGGGATACTGGCCAACTTACACGCCAATGGACGTGCATTTGCCTTCAGAGGTAACATCACCATTCGTTGGGATCTTTTTCGGTTGTTCTCTTGTTATCCGAGAGTGTGATTGTTATCTGCAAGTCTGAGTCCAGAGAGTATTAAATGACCCATAGTCCTGTAAACAATCAATCAATCTATCAGTCAGTCGGTCAAAACTATGACCGAATATGAGAGAACTTGGTAATACTGAAATTATTGGCCATTAAGTGTTTAAATTTAAAAAGCCGGATTAATTTTTTTAATAATGAATTCCAGATGGTTGAATACCAAGAGGCGTTCAAGAAGTTCTACATTGGAAAACATGGTGGAAGAAAGCTTCAGTGGCAGAACACGTTAGGACACTGTGTTGTCAAGGCTGATTTTGGTCCCACAGCAGATGTGAGCTATTTTATTTTAGTGGATTCCCTCTAACTCGCACTTCCAAGGGGTTTTAAATCGTTGTTTCCTATATTTTGGCTTAGAATATGTTGCCTTAAGTAGAGACAGATGAAAGGTTTTCAAGGCGAGCTCCCTTGTGTGTCCGTGCGTGCGTGATGCGTGCCCGTGTTTTTTCGGGGAAGGGGCATATTGCTTGTATCGTTTACGCAGATAGATTTGTCCCTATCGCTATGAGGACAGTTCTTTCAGCTCTAAGATGTATGCTGTTTTCTTTCCAACAGGAGAAGAAAGAACTTCAGGTGTCGTTGTTTCAAACCTTGGTGTTGTTGATGTTTAATACTGGGGAGAATTTTAGTTTTGACGAAATCAAGCAAGCTACAGGGATAGGTAAGACTCCAAAACAAAACAAGTCTAGAATTCATCCGAAACTGGTTTGGAAACTTTTTTTTTTTTTTTTTTTTTTTCTTGTTTTCAAACGAGAGCCTGGTAACGTGCTTCTAAAATCATCATCCTCAGGCGGTAAGCTTATTTCCCCCGCACCCATTCCCCCGCGGTCTCTCTACATTTTGAAGCGGGCTTCCAGGGCACGGTTGATTGGATTTCTCCTGTTTGTTGGTATATCAGAGCGAGAGTTTTGCTGAGTGT